TTTCAGATGATTCCCATGCACACTTTTGATAAAAGACCAGCATCTGCAAGATTCTGGGGTGAGCTTTTAAAATGATGTGATGGTCACATCGATTTTTGACTTACATTCAGTGCTTCCCCTGCTGCCTGCAATATAAAGTTCAGATCTCTCACTTTGTGATAGGACAAGCTCCTTTCACATCCTGGCTCTCCTCTAGCTTTCTAGATGTGTTTCCAGCTACTCCCTTTCAGATGCCTTTAGTCAAATAAGTTAGACCCAGTTTCTCATGTATTTTTGGATTTCTATGCCATTTTACATACTATTTCTATCTGGGGTTCTCTTAATTTTTTTTCTGTATCTGGAAAACTCTTCTCAATGATGCTTCCTCTCTGAGGCCTTCCATGACGATTCTTGCCGCTTGTTCCTCCAGGCAGAAGTACCTGATCTTCATCTGTGGCTCTCAGCACTTGGTCTGTCAGTCGTCCCTCGGGATCCATGGGGGTTGGTTCCAGGAGCACCCACAGATACGGAAACCCAAGGATGCTCAAGTCCCTGAAATAAAACTTGAGTTTTATAGTGTTTGCATATAACCTATGTGCATCCTCCCATATACTCTAAGTCATCTCTAGAGTACTTATAAAACCTAACACAATGCCTACACACACGTCCTTCGCAAGGATTCAGTGTAGTACTCAGCACATGGTGAATTCAAGTTTTACTTTTTGGAACTTTGTGGAACTTTTTCTCTGAATAATTTCCATCGGCAGTTGGTTGAACCGACAGACATGGAGGGCCGACCATACTTCATTGCTGCACTCATTACATAGCATTGTGATGATTTGCTTGCATATTTGTCTCCATCTATATACAGTTAGGTCATTGAAATAAAGGTAATCTTTTATTAGTAGGTATGCAGTAACAGTGATGCTTTCCCTTTAATTAAGAAGTACCAAATTCTTGCCAAGTCTTTTAAAAACCATCTCTACTGACCTCCAGATACTTTCTACCTATATCATCATCTGCTTCTATCCCATCGAAAAAATGGTATATCTTATTAACAAAGAAGGAACCTCCCACATTTCTGGAGCATGTGATAGATGGTGGCCATTTCGGTATCATGAAACTCAATAGTGCCTATACCTTGCTGAGATCTGTACCAAAGGAAGATACAGATACAGAACATCTGGTGCTCAAGGTACTCAACTGGTTTTAAATGTTAAAAATCAGCAAAACCAATCTAATAAGTTGTGCCAATTCTGTTTTTTTAAGTTTCTATAATTTGTAGCATTAATGTCTGCTTTACACCTGGAAATACTCTTCAGTTATGTCTTACAAGAACAATGAAGGTTTTGTATGTTTGTTTGAGCCAGAAGTCATTTTTTAGTGTATTACTTTTTTTGGGGGGGGGAGATAGGATCTTGCTCTGTCGCCCAAGCTGGAGTGCAGTGGTGCAATCATAGTCAATGCAGCCTTAACCTCCTAGGCTCAAATGATCCTCCCACCTCTGCCTCCTGAGTAGCTAGGACTACAGCACGTGCCACCATGCCAGACTGATTTTTATTTTTTATTTTTTGAGACAGGATCTCACTCTGTCACCCAGCCTGTAGTGCAGCGGCACAATCTCAGTTTCACTGAAACCTCAACCTCTCTGGGCTCAGGTGATCCTCCCACCTCAGCCTCCTGAGTAACTGGGACTGCGAGCATGCACCACCACACCCAGCTAATTTTTGTATTTTTTTTGTAGAGACAGGGTTTTGCTATGTTGCCCAGGCTGGTCTCGAATTCCTGGTCTCAAGCCATCCACCTGCCTTGGCCTCCCAAAGTGCTAGTTTTACAGACGTGAGCTACTGCGCCCAGCCAGCAGGCTAATTTTTATATTATTTTATTTTATTTTATTTATGTATTTATTTTTGAGATGGAGTCTTGCTCTGTCACCCAGGCTAGAGTGCAGTGGCATGATCTCGGCTCACTGCAACCTCCGCCTCTCGGGTTCAAGTGATTCTCCTGCCTCCACCTCCCAAGTAGCTGAAATTACAGGCACCCGCCACCACACCCAGCTATTTTTTATATTTTTAGTAGAGACAGGGTTTCAACATTTTGTCCAGGCTGATCTTGAACTTCCAACCTTGTGATCCACCCGCCTTGGCCTCCCAGAGTGCTGGGATTACAGGCATGAGCCGCTGCGCCTGGCCAGCAGGCTAATTTTTTTTTTTTTTTTGTGGAGACAGAGACTCACTATGTTCCCCAGGCCATGTTATGCCTTCTAAGAATGCATCTGAGCTGTTGGCTTTCATGGTGAATTGTGGCTCTAGTGGAGGTTCTATAGTAAAGACCTCATTTAAGTTTGCAAGTGCTTCTTTCATTTTAAACTGCAGACATATGCCTGTCTTTCTAGCAAAGCATGTTAGGAGTTCAGAAAGGCTGTGACATTTGGGGGTCAGTTACGATTAATTTATAGTTTATAATATAACCATTACTGTCTGGTTTTGAATATTAGAGAAGAAGCTTTGAAATTTGTGCTATAATAGTTGAACATGATATATACCAAGAGGTATTGGTGATTATAAAGATGTTTGTGGTATCAGAACAAATTGTTACAAATCATGAAATTTTATTGCATGGATTTATGTTCTAGGAATTATAATTTTTTATTCTCATTTTTCCTCTGAGAATACCAAAAAGGAAATTGAATGCAGTGATATCTTTAATATTGAAATATAGCAAGTGGCCGGGAATGGTGGCTCACATCTGTAATCCTAGCACTTTGGGAGGTTGAGATGGGAGGATCACTTGAACCCAGGAGTTCAAAACCAGCCTAGGCAACATAGTGAGACCTTGTCTCTATTATTTATTAAAAATTTTAAAAATATATGTAGCAGGTAACTATATTAGTTCTGAAAGCAATGTGAAAATGTCTTTATCTTCTTTTGGTTAATAATACATTAAAGAAAAGCCCATTCTCTTTCCAGGACCAGAAAGCTGTTGTGCTGGGTTTGGTTCTTTCATAGGGATTGTCTCCTTGTTTCAGTTGGGCAATTGATATAAAAGAACCAGAGACAAAAATATAAATATAGGACTAAATGTAAGCTAATCTCTGTGTTCACTTCCATCATTAGTCAACCTAAAACAACCACACTATAACTCAGCACAGCCACTAGCATTAATAGTCTTGAAAGTTTGGGACCTAAGTGGATATCTGTCTGAAGACAGGTAGTCAGATAAATAACTGGAAATTGACTTCTATCCTAGAGAGGCGCATTTCAATTCTCAATGTCTTACTTAGACGCCTGTCACGAAGGGAGGAATGTAGAACAATAAGCATAGTACTATGGCTTAAAAATCAAGAGACCAAAATATGTTCCCTGCAAATTACTTTCCATCTCGGATCCTCTCCATTAAATGGAAAAATCATTTTTAAAAATACCTACACAGAAATGCAGTTGGTTTAAGAAGAAAAAAAAATGCATAGAGATGGATGGAGAGAGGAAGAGATCCTTCTTTAACGTCTGGGTTCCTTGGCTCTCCCTGAAAGATTTCCCCTTGCGCTTTTATTTGAATGTACTACGAAACCTGCAAAACAATAAAGACTGTGGTCCCTTAATAGTCACTAAGAATTGCTAAGTATAACCTCTCCAAAAACATTATACATAATTGACTCTGTCCTTAAACGAAAGGAGAAACCAGAAGGTAGTTAGTTCCCAAGCACCTAAATATGAGAGAAGGACTTTCGGCTTCAGTTTTATGCTTTTGATGGACAAATCTGAGAAGTATAATCATGCATAACTTAACAGTGGGGGATGCATTCTGAGAAATGCTTTGTTAGACAATTTTGTGTTGTGTTAACATCAGAGAGTGTACTTACACAAACCAAGGTGGTTTCACCTGCTGCATACCTAGGCCGTATGGTGTAGCCTAGGTTTGCAGCAGGCACAACCATCAAGGTATGTGTAAGTACACTCTGTGTATGTATGTAGCCTCCTAGGCTACAAACCTGTACTGGAGGCAACTGTTACACAGAGGTATTTATATATCTAAACATAGAAAAGGTACAGTAAAAATACAATATTGTAACCTATTATAAAAATATATGTGGTTTGTCATTGACCTAAACATCATTGTGCAGCACATGACTGTACTTCTTCCAGTTTAAAAGAGGAAGTGAGAAATTTTCCAGAAGTATTTAGCAATAGTCATTTGATTCCAGATGCAAGACAGAACCCTTTTGTAGCTGAACCTAGTAGGGAGGGAGAGGGGTTGAAGAATGGCTGGAAGGCAAGATACCTGGCACCTTTTTGAGAAGCTTGAATTCATTCCTTCAGGACTTTCACAAGAAAGAGAAATGGACAGACCTGAGTCCAGAAAACCTGCACCTAAAGGCGAGTTACCAAAAATGCTAACCTTCAAGTTTAAGTTTGGATTAGGGGTTATAAAAGACAACATTCTAATTAGGGTATAGGTGTAAAATTTGGATTTGTTGTTAAGATTCTAGTAGAGAATTAATCAAAGTTTGTTCCAGAGTCTTATTTTTGAATGTGGTATGTAACAGTTTGTTTTGGTTAAAAGTTTACAAACTAAGTCTGAGGGAAACCAGTGAGCTCTAACCAAATCTCAGGAACAGCATGCACCTCGATGCTACGACCTTTGTAATATATGATGAATGCCAGACACCTAGTAATGTTGTACCTAAAATGTAGAGAAATTCACCAGGGGGCAGAATTTAAATTCTTATGTACTAAAACTACAAAGCAAAAGCCACCGAAGTTATGTCCTGTGGTAGTGTGTTTATGATCAGTTGCTTCTCCTGGTACCCACAGCTCAGTGGCCCTGTGGCTTTGTGAGAGAGAACCTCTTGCTGAATTTACTTAGGCTTGAAGTATCGATTTCTGCCGCACTCCGCCTGGGTCCCGCTGTGCTTACCGCGAACGATCGTTGGTCCCTTTGCTCTTATCATGCCTATTGTCGTTTCCCTTGTTTCCCCTAGTTGGTAATTATTAATATAAGGCAAATGTCTTTTCTTTCAGTCCTCCTCGCCCTCTGACTAATATGAATGACACCGTGGTTAGCCACATGTCCTCTGGAGTGCCCACTCCCACCAAGAGGTACGTATGTCTTGTGCCTTCGACTTGAGTGTTGGCCTTTGCTACTGATTTGCAGTGCCCCTGTCAGAAATGAGGCCTGAAAAAGCAGGTTGTTCCACCAGGCAGAAAGGACTGGTTTGCTTTCTCTTCCTTTGGCCGTCTTTTAGTCTTAATTTCTACTTTTTATTTTCCTTTTTTTCCCCCCACTGACTCACAAATACAGCAACTGAAGATTGGCTTTCAGTGGTGCCTCAGGTGGAAACTTCATTTGTGACAAGCAGTGGTGACAGTGTCAGAGCAGATTAGGCACGTTTCAGATCCGTTTTTTAACCTGAAACAATGTTTTGATAGTCATGAGTTTCAACAGTTTTGCCTTTGAATTCTTTGAGTGTCAAAGATCATTTTTGCTCTTTGATTAGATGGTAAATTGAATTAATCCCTTATAAGATTTTCTCCTAAATCGTTCTGTATATGATTTATAAACATTTAAGTTGAAAAGCCCTAGTGTCTCTCTTTTGGTTATGCAAGGAGTTTGCTTTAGGGGCCTTCAAGGAATGAGAACTGTGTACTTCTTTCTCCTCTTTATTTAATTTGCTCTTCTCCAAAAATTCTCTCAGGCAGGACTTGAAAGAACTATATAAAGTGGCTTTCTATTTGGTATACGCTGTTCCCTGACCAGAGCAATGCAAAAACTCCCTCAAGGGCACGGCCATTAAAGAATTCTTTCTAACAGTCATCACTCAAAAACAAGAAAACCACAAAGACATTCCAGCCCACCCCCTAGTCCTTCCTGGAAAAAAAACCATTTTGTGCCATATGTACCGATTGCTTTGGATTAATTCAGCTATGGAAACGCTATAGAAATTTTGACTATGTAATACATAGTGCTTAAGACAATGATGTTTGTTCCCATTGGCTAAAACTCCTAGGGCAATGTTTCTCAAACCTGACTGATGAGAAGAATCACCTGAGTCACTTGTTGAAAACAGATTTCTGGGACAACATCATACCCAGTGAATTGGAATTTCTAAAGATAGGATCTTGAGAAGCTACATTTTTATTCCAGCTGATTCTTATCATCAAGCAAGTTTGGGCAATAGCCTGACAAGGAAGCTAATGAGTAAAGTGTAGGACTACCCTGAAGAGAGAAGTTAGGGACTTAATAAACCAGAGTGGCCTGATAATACATTACCTGTGTGGAGACCCAGGACCTGACCAGGTAAGAGTACTTGCCTTTAGCCTCGTTAGGGCACTTTCCAGCAGTGAGAGAGTCAGGCCACTGCTTCTGGGCAGAGCTGAGTGGTGCAGGGCACCAGAGCATGTACTCTTGAGCCAGACTCTGTCTGAGTTGGAATGCTGGCTCTTTGCTTACCTTGAAATGTTCTCGTCTTCATTTTTAATTTAATTTTTTTTTTTTTCAGAGACACGGTCTCTCTTTGTCGCCCAGGCTGGAGTGCAGTGGCCCAATCTTAGCTCACTGCAACCTCTGCCTCCCAGGTTCAAGTGATTCTCCTGCCTCAGCCTCCGGAGTAGCTGGAATTTCAGGCACCTGCCACCATATCTAGCTAATTTTTTTTTTTTTTTTTTGGTAGAGATGGGGTTTCACCATGTTGGCCAGGCAGGTCTCAAACTCCTGATCTCAAGTGATGCAACCGCCTCAGCCTCCCAAAGTGCTGGATTACAGGCGCAAGCCACCGTACCTGGCCTTGTTTTCAATTTTTTATCTCTGAATGGGGACAAAAATAATATCTACCTTTTGGGGTTTATGTGAGGATTTCATATATTATTTTTATGACTTAGGAAGTAAACTGGAATGTGAGAATAAGTGAGGAAGAGACAGAATGATTTACCAGTAATGCCCTCTCAAGCAGGAAAGGAATTTTTATGGACGACTACAAAGCAATTAAGCCCGTCCCACCTACCTAGATATTACGATAACCCTTGCTGCCCTTGGACTTCAGTTTTTTATGTTAAACACCCATAGCATTCAAACCCAGACTCCAGATCAAAGATGTTTCCATTTCAAAACCAGGCAGATAAGGTGGCCTATTCAAAGAATTCAGGTCATAGTTTTCATGTTAATTATAAGAATACCATCTCATTCAGTAGCATTTCCCATCTGAATTCTTCTCATCATTTACTAGTTCTGTCATGCTAAGTCACCCAAGTACATGAGGGTGTACACCTTGGTGCCCGGTGACGGGGGAGGAGGGGGAGTGGGGGGGTGGGAGGAGTGGGGGGGAGTAGGGGGTGGGGGAAGTGGGGGCGTGGGGGAGGATGCCATGTGTTATATGTGCCACATTCAGTGACCGCAGCTGAATGTGGCTGCTAGAAGCTGTTAGAAGGAGCATGGCTTTCTGGACAATGTTTTCTTGCTTGAGAAAACTCAAAGAAGGGAGCAGTAATAATCATAACCACCTCTGTAGAGAACTACCCCTTAGGCTTGCTGCGTTACACCTCCAGGCTTAATTGTAAGTAGCCAGCTGTGATTGCCAGTCACAAAATGGTATCTGTCATTTTTGAAAGCTGCTTCAGATAATCTATAGCCTGGATTAAGATTTCATCTTAAAGTCAGCGTTTCAGCCAGCACCTCTTTCTGGTAGAATTAGCCCACCCTAGAGGTGGTTATCGTAAACTTTGCAAGGGCTGACCAGCAGGCCAAAGGCAGCCAGAGCGCAGACCAGAAAAGAAGGTTGAGCTCCGGTCGATCAAGAAGCACAATTACTTGAGCAGAGGCTCCATAGGAACAAAATGCTCCTATCCTACCAATACAGCCCCCAAGATTTTAGGGGATTCCATTTATATTCAGTATGAGATTATGATATACCATGTGGATACCAATTACCTAATTCATAGACTTGGCTTTTCATGGCCCCAGTAACCAAATAGTATAAATTTCCAGGTAGTATTCTACTTGCTTCCTTAAGGATTCCTCAGCTTTTCTTCCCTGCTCTGAATGTGGACAGACCTGTGTGGCCAGAGTCTAATGGAAGCCAGGAGCCCAGCATGTCTTGCCGGCCACAGAGCCTTACTCTGCCCAGACAGGAATGCTCACGGAGATAGAGCAGCTACTCTCCAGAATAAGAGGTTTCTTTTAGAACTCATCCTAAGACGTCAATCACTGAATGAGACAACAACATGCACAGCGATAAAAATGCAGGAAAAATTTTAAGTGCTCTAGTTCCTACCTTTTAAATAGGCAGTGCATATAAAAATAGTGATAATCACAGTGGCCAAAAGTAATGCTGTTAGTCCAAGTAAAAGATGATCTGAATGTAAGCTTTACTTTTCACAGAAGACCTTATAAATGGCAGAGATGATGACTGTGATGTAAGATACCATAAATCATGTTCCTGAGAGGTTCCACTGTAGGGATTTTTCCTCCCTAGTAATCTTTTAATATCCCTAAATTGATATCTTATAACTGAAAAGAAATTTTGTCTTTGCCTTAGGCTAAATAGTTTCTTGAAATTTACTTTCTTTTGAAAGCGTCTACATAGTACATTTAAAAGCAAACAAGAAAACACTTTTCAAAGCTTTAAAACATAGGCTTAAAATACCCCTCCCCTGTCCAATTTCCTCCGAGACCTGCGTCTAGACCTCTTTTTTCCCAGGGTTCAGAATGTGAATTGTGTTCTTATGCTCTGTACTGTTCTATTATTTTAAGTCACCTTATATTCAGACAAATATGGAAAATGATGCTAATGTTTTTTATTTTTAAATGTCTTCTAAAACTTTAGCTGTAATTGTTTATGGATACTTAAAGCTTAACAATTCTGTGGCAATTTCGTATAACTATGGAAGTAACAAAAGCCTTCAATATGCAATTTTGTGCTTTGTGCATTCAGTTGGTATATTAATATTGTATCTCCTTTAGCTTCAAGTATTAAAATTGAACCTTAAAAGGCAAAACCCACAAAGCAAAGGCAAAAGGCAGAAAGGGAAGGGCAGGAGAGTACACTGATCACGAAAGCAACGGGAATGCCCCCAGGCAGCCCTCCTTCTCCGAGCTGCCTCTCTCTGTGTGCCTTCTTTGCTCCCCGCCACTGCGGAACAGCTGCTCCCAAGCTGCTGATGCTTCCAGACACACACCTACCTACAGCCTTGCTCCTCCGGGGGTTGTGCTTTTCCTCCCTTGGATTAGAAAAACGCAAGGAAGGATTCTTGTGTCCTGGATTGCATTACTGCCCATCCTTGGTGTATGTGACGGGCCATGCCCATTAGAGCTATGGCATCAGAGCAGAGGGAGAAGAATTTCCCCCCAAAGAAGGGTATACTGTCAAGAAAAGGAGAGAGAGAAGAGGCTGAGGTGGGAGGATGGCTTGACCCCAGGAGTTTGAGGCTGCAGTAAGCTATGATGGTGCCCGTGAATAGCCACTGCACTCCAGCCTCAGCAACGTAGCAAGACCCTGTCTCTCAAAAAAAAAAAAAAGGAGAAGAAGCAGAAGAAGAAAGAAGAAGAAGGAGAAGCAGAAGAAGAAAGAAGAAGCAGAAGAAGAAGAAGAAGAAGCAGAAGCAGCAGAAGCAGAAGAGGAGGAGCAGAAGAGGAGGAGGAGGAGGAAGAAGAAGAAGAGGAAGAAGAAGCAGAAGCAGAGGAAGAAGCAGAAGAAGAAGCAGAAGAAGAAGCAGCAGCAGAAGCAGAAGAAGCAGCAGCAGAAGAAGAAGCAGAAGAAGAAGAAGAAGCAGAAGCAGCAGAAGCAGAAGAAGAAGCAGAAGCAGCAGAAGCAGAAGAAGAAGAAGCAGAAGAAGAAGCAGAAGCAGCAGAAGCAGAAGAAGAAGCAGAAGAAGCAGAAGAAGAAGCAGAAGAAGAAGAAGCAGAAGCAGAAGAAGCAGAAGCAGAAGAAGCAGAAGCAGAAGCAGCAGAAGCAGCAGCAGAAGCAGGAGGAGGAGGAGCAGGAGGAGGAGAAGGAGGAGAGGAGGGGAGAGGGAGGGGGAGAGGGAAGGGGAGGGGGAGGGGAAGGGGAAGGGGAAGAAGGAGAGAAATCCTGGGCAAGAAAAATAACGGAAGTTGTTAGCAGACC